ACATCCTCATCAACATCTTCTAGCCAATCTTCCTCTTTAGATTCTGAAATTGCAACATGAGGTTTGGATATTTCTATGTTGCCATCTATATCTTGAGGTCTTGATACTTCTATACTTTCATAGGGCACATGAGTTTCTGTTTCTGCAAATCCAACTTCACATGCTCTACTACACCCAATCTTCTCAGTTGCAGGTGCATGTGTAGTAGGTTCAGTGTCTTTCCTCACAACTGAATGCTCAGAAATATTATTGCTGTCAACTATAGGCTTTAGTTTCTTTTCAGCTCTACCCCACATTGATTTCAAATCCACAAATGTCTTCTTCTCTGAAGGCTCTACCACCTAAATCACAAAATTATGTGTGCAACAAATCAATCAATCGCTCAATTCTTAATTTTTCCCAATCAATTGGAGGACAAGATTGAAATACAAATTGCAAAGACAGTAATTTACTGACCTTCTTTTCCATGGCTGTCGGCGTTGGCCTCGGTTCTTCTCCTTCCTCAGCATTCTCCTGCTGCACTTGCTTCCCCGGATGCGGCACCAGTGGCAGCAAGAGAGGTGCTGGCGGCAAGGGTGCCAGGGCCGGGTTAGGGTTGGGCGTGAGGGAAGCGGCGAGAGAAGGGGCAAGAGGAGGAGCCGAGTCGGAGAAGCCGTCCTGCCGTGGAGGTGGAGCATCGCAAGAGTTCCGCGGCGGCGCGGTGCACTGAGGCGCCGTTCCCTGCTAACCGCGAGTTGCTCGGCCGCCGCCGCCGCCGCTCCTCATGGCCTCTTCCTTGTGCTTTGTTTTTCTTTTTTTGAGAAGTGATACGAGTCCGTGAATCTGTGTGGGAGGCGGAGAGGGAGGGAATACCGGGATAGGGTTGCCTGTGTGGGCTATTGGGCCGCCAATTGAGATTGCTCCTACAAATATTTTGGCCCAACTATCTGTATACATACTATATATAATTTTTTTTTACCAAAAAATTTGGGGTTCAACTGTACCCCCATGTCCCAGCGTGTGTTCGCCCCTCATAGGGTAGAGAGATGAAGAGAGGGGAGATAGGGGAAAGAGAGGAGGAAGAAGACTCCCGAGAGAGAGGAGAAAGAGGAGTGAGTGAGAATGACATGGTGGGGTCCATGTGGGCCCCACCATTTTTAATTTTTTTATTGTATCTGACATGTGGCCCATGGTTTTTATTATTTTCAGATAAAACTGGCACATAAGCACTACATCAATGCCACGTGGGATAAAGACCGAGTCAAACTAGCCACGTAGGCGTCACGTTAGCTAAAACCACCGGTTTTAACAGTTGAGGGACCCGTTACATCTGATTTTCTGGTTGTTTGATGAAAATCGGATTCGTTGACAAATTAAGAGACCTTAAGTGAACTTATTCCAAAATGAAAAGATAGAACGAAATTGCTACACATCCGGCATAAGATCTTCTTTTTTTTTTTAGAGATCTTGCAAATTCTCTGACTGTTGGATTTTTGTTGACTGTCGTGCTAAGGACCTCCCAAGAAAAAATCAAGCAAGTGCGTGAGGAGGGAGTCGACCTCAAAATCTCAAGTATATGTTGCGGATTTTAAAACCAACGACATATTTACACTACAGTTACATTACAATTAGATCACAGTTGCACTGCAGTTACACCACAATTATAATGTAATTTTTAGTGGATGTAGGTGTAAATTTTGTTGTTTGATCTGAACTTTTTAGTGCTCATTATAGCTTCCGTTGCTGTTAACCCTAATTAATCAAGGTATGATTAACGTCATTTGTTAGACGTATTCTGATATATACATTGTAATCTGAATCGTATGTGGCTAGTTTGGATGGCTTGAAAATCTAAAAGATTTTCTATGAAAAATGTGTCAAATGATCCGTAGATAATCCCAAGATAGAAATGGTCATGGGCCAAAAACGACACGTGTTTATGAATTAGTTGATCCAATGCATGGGAATAATTAGCATTTTGCTACTCCAGAGGGGTGAGTGGCGAAATATTTGCTACTTTCTGAGAGGAAGTGTTACGAGAGCAATTAAAAGACGTCGGGAAGAGTGGAAAAAAGTACAGTAAAATCCCCTTCCCTTGCAGGTGATGATCGCAGAGGAGTTGAGGTCAAATAACCATGGACACATACAGCATTGCCGTGCACTTCGGGCAGTCCTCACAGAGCAGTAGAGGTAGACCTCCTGGAGTCCTGGTGTTGGATGTGTAGTCTTCGATCAACCCCAAGAGTCGGGAACTTTCTGATATGACGTTTTCTAGTATAATTAATCTGAATAGATTTTTATCTAAATTTATTGTATTAGAAAATATCACATATCGTTCATTTGTCGCCTTTTGATCAATTAAGACATTTCTACGTAAAAACCAGGTGGTCGACTCGATCCTCCCCACCAGGTCAGTCTTTGGTTTCCATTCAATCAATCGATCGAAACCAATTAATGGATTACAGGGATGGCCTGCCTAACTGAACAGAAACATATTGCAAGCAAGCCGCGTCCATATCCACGAGACCACGACTATGCCTCGGTCACATACGTACAAACCAGCGAATTGAATTATGTATTAGCTAAGCGAGAAAAAAATCTTGCACAATCTATCAATTTTCTTCCGTTAATTAGTCGGCTAGATTATCAGTCATTGCGTAATTAATGAGTATGTTGCCCTTGTGGCTGCAAAAGAAAGTAATCCGCTAGGATTTGCTGAATTGTGGATGCTATCGTTGTAAAACTATTCTCTTGCCGCATGGACGGGTAAGTGTAATTAAGGCCTGCCCACGGTCGTCTTGACGCTTGACTCCACTGGTATTGGGAGCTGAAAATTACTTTTACAGTCAATTTCCTTTATCCTATAAGTTACTTACATTCACACTAATAATTTTAAGCCTTATTATACTATAAATTACAAAACTAAAAAGGTAATCAAAACTTATGATATAATTATTCTAGACAAGATTATCTCTAGTGGGTGATGTGGCCTCACCATAAAGGTTGGTTTTGAGAACAATGCTTCACCATATAGAGAAATACCCAGAAGTCTTCCGGCTAGAAATAATCTTAGGGAAATTATTAGGGAGTCGTATGTTATGAGAACAATTCCGAGCTCCGCTAGCAGGGAGCTGCCAGGAGCATGCGAACACATTGGCCTAAGTTCGAATCCCTTCCAACTCATGTTTTCTCACTATCTTATTACTCGTTTTGTTTTCTAATATATGACGCCATTAACTTTTCAAGATACATTTGATCATTCGTTTTGTTCAAAAATTTATGTAATTATTATTTATTTTATTGTGATTTAATTTATCATCAACTATTCTTTTAAGCATGACTTAAAATTTCTATATTTTCACAAAAAAATTTGAATAATACGAATGGTAAAATGTTTATCAAAAAGTCAACGACATCATATATTAAAAAAAGAGGTAGTATCTAGCAATAATAGATGCTACTAAGTTTCTTCCTAATACTCTAACATATTTTTTTTCCTAATTTCTATTGACTCCATGTGTTGGTCTCTTTAGTACTCCAACTCATACACTCCCTCCGTCCTCTAATATAAGGGATTTTGACATTTTACTTACACTGTTTGGCCACTCGTCTTATTTAAAAAGTTGTGCAAATATAAAAAACGAAAAGTTATGCTAAAAGTACTTTAGGTAATAAAGTAAGTCACAAATAAAATAAATAATAATTTCAATTTTTTTAATAAGATAAATGGTTCAATAGTGCAAGTAAAATGTTACAATCACTTATATTAAAAGAGGGAGGGAGTATTTTTTTTCCCAATTTCCACTGACTCCGGGTGTTGGTTTGAATCATACGTAGACGGTAGACCTATCGCTTTTGCGGCGACTTGACCCCTGTAGCCTCGCGATCGTACGTGTCAACTGCTGGAAAAACAACAGCACTCTCTAGCTATAGCCTCGCAAGCGTGTCATTTGGGCATAGGTGTCTCTATATATATGCGATCAAGGATGCAGGCTCTACCGCTCTCTTCAGTGATACATCCCCTGGGGAAATCAGCAAGAAACCTGGAGAGCATGTGGTCAAGCAGCCTGCCATCTTACTTGTTCACGCTTGTCACTGGTCTACTGCCTCTACTTGTGCACTCACAGACAGCTTCATTAGGTGCGTCCAATGTTTTTGTCTAACTATTCCACATTATAGACGTTTTGTTTTTCAAATTGATTCATGCATAGAGAGGTTAAAATGACATGTAATATAGAATTCATATAAAGTTAGCGAATCTAGATAATGGATAGAGATGTTAATAAAACGACTTGTAATATGTGTCCGAACTTTATATAGATGTTAGTAAATCTAGATAAGAGATAGCTATAGAGGTTAAAACGACGTATATAGGAGTAGCTTCTTTAGAGATGAATTTTAAGCCTTTCAGGGGCATGTGGCACTGGTTTCTTACATACAGTATAAATAGAAAAATAGTTATAAAAAGTTTTTTGTAAAAGTTAGGAAACATGGATTATTCGGCTAGACATCTCCAAATAACTATTTTTCTATTTACTCATGGAACAAAAATAATAAATACAGCTACAAATGTAACGGCACTTTTCGTAGTCTTAGTTGTTATTTTAGCTTTTATCATGTGTAGATTGAATTTGACCTTTGCATATTTTTATAGAGGCACATATATGACATAACCATATAGAAATGTTTGTAACTATTTAAACCATATGCAAGAGATGAGGGAATGCGTCCTCGAGGACTTAAAATCGTCTCCCATACTCTTTTCGTTTTTATACATCCACAGTGTCATACACCATATTTTGTCATGTAATATTAATACCCTAAACATATAAGATGAGCTGATAAAATTTACCTTTCTAGTTTCTACTGTACCCATGATCCCTTCACAAAACATTGACGATACCTGTCAAGCGCTTCGTGTGATAGGGTAGCTGGCCCTCGGCTACGGAGTTCGTAGCCGCGCGCCGTGATGTTGGGCAAGGTTTTCCCCCTCAGCACCGATAGACAGAGGCAAAGAGGAAGAATAGAAAGTTTGTGATCAACTCGTTACCTTCCAAATTCTGAATACAAAACTTAAGTAGGCACTCGGGCCTTAATTCTTGGCGCTAATCAAATCATTGTAACTAATTATTCCTATTACTAAGGATCTGATTGATCCTTCTGTTTTCAAATCCACGCGCTAATCCTGCTCAGCCGCGCGTGATCGCGTATACAGCGTCGACGGCGCGCCTTCAGCGCCCCTGATCTTGCGGCCCTTCCTTGTATAGGTGCGGCCCCACATGACAATACCCAAGCATGGTACCTTCAAAAAACTTTAGTAATACCACCAAGAAACATCGGTGCCATCTTCATGATACCCTCAAGGTATCATAATACTTCGAGGCATCATACCTCTGTGATACTGCTGAGACATCATACCAGCAGCAGAGTATTGTGTCGTGGTTTTTCCCTAATATACTTTCCAGGAAATACTTCTTAATTGCCCTCCATTAAATTTGAGACTTCAGTACAAAGCCATGAGCCCATTACATATTTTGGGAATCATCTCCTTTAGAGTAACGTATGCAATGAATTTCCTCCATATTTAAAAAAAAATCCATACTGTAAGCCCCTTGCAAAGCACAGAATTATTCCAACTACAATATACATCTCATAGCATGGAACCATTTTCAGACTCAAACAAACCTACCGTATCATTTTCATTTTGCCAAGTTGTACCTGATAAATTTTCATATTTTTGGTGCCAATACGTTTTATGGGAAGGATTATTCTTCCATGACTATAATTATAATTCTATTGGCTAACCTGCGAATTAACATGTGGAGTGCAAATGGCTCAGCTGACTCCCTCCCCTTGTAGATGAAGGATTTATAAGCATCGATTGTGGGCTTTCCAGTGGCTCCAGCTACCTGGATGAGAAAACAGGTCTCAATTATACATCAGATGATGGGTATATATACACAGGAGAGAACCACGACATCTCTGCAGAATACAATGGACAGGAATTGTTCAAGACAGGCCTGAACCTCAGAAGTTTCCCCACTGGAGGTCGAAACTGCTACACCTTATCTCCTGCAACAACTGGCCAGGAAGTATCTTGTAAGAGCAACATTCATGCATGGGAACTACGATGGCAAGGGGAATGATCTTGTCAGCTCGCCACTGGTTTTCGATGTCCATATGGGGCTTCATTTCTGGGACCGGATCAGTGTCAGTAACTCAGCCAAGACTTACATCGCTGAGGTGATCGTTGTCGCAGAGGTGAACTCCATATCAGTTTGCTTGATGGACATTGGCAGTGGGATTCCCTTCATATCATCACTGGAGATGAGGCAGATGAAGAGTTCATTGTATCCAGCAGCCAAGGCCAACCAGTCCATCGCACTGCAGGAGCGACATAGCATGGGGACAAGCAGTCTACTAAGGTAACTATGGATACCTTAAAGAATTCAACAAAATATTAAAGAATTGTCACCTTTCCCGTGCGTTGTGTATAACATAGATGACTTTTCCAATATCAAAATCAAGTACAATTATATTTGTGATAGAAGCTATTGCATGCTTAAGTTTCAATGTATCCATATTTTAGGAGAAAACTAAAGTTTATTGGACACTAGCGAAAATTTTGCCTTGGTTCAAAATAGTCTAATGTGCAACAAGTTATTTCATAATATTTTGAGCCCAGCTACTAATTATTAAATTAAAATTCAAGGACAAAACCAATGGCTTACCACTGGACCCAGCCAGACACCCTGAGCAGCTAGCTGCCCAGGCTTGCTTGTGCGCGGCAAAGGGTTGGCACGTCATGCCACTGGCATTGGACCATACATGCGCCCGGTGGTTAGTTTCAGGGCATGTACAATGGAGACCACATATTTTGGAAACCCCCTATTAAGGGAATTCGGTTTATTTTTTGTTCTACCGAAAAATGTTTCACTTAGTGTACTCACAATGTTTCACTATGTATAGATCTAATGTTGCAGTGAACTGAAACATTATTTCACTATTTGCTGAAATATTGTTTTTATATAAGGTGAAACAACACCCGATTTAAACGAGTGAAACATTTTCGATCTACTTAGTGAAACAATTCCGATATACCTGGTGGAACATCATGCAACATTTAAAAATAATTCAATAATAAGCTAAATTTTTTTCGTCGGAATATATTTATGTGTGGTATTGTTTTGAAGATTTAATTGCAACGAAATTAATGGTGCAATCGGATCATGATTTGAATAAGTAATTTAGGAGAAAAATCAGTTTAAAGTAGTTTTGCATGTAAATCGGGCGCTGATGTCATGCTGACGTCAGCGCCCAATTTTGCTCCAAACGGATCGGTCACCCAAGCTGTAGGCTCGTCCAAATTGGGCATATAGCAATATAGAGTTTATTCGATGCACACAAATGGTTTTATCCAATATTAAAACTTTTTTTGTTAGGCCAATTTTACTTTATTTAACTATGGGGCGAATTTATCTACGTTGTATATAATGCATAGAGCAAATAATAATTGTTTCAAAAAAATAATGTATTTACTCTTTTTTAAGATTCAAAACTATTTTTACCCTTACAATACATCACCATGACAGTGTCACAACAAACCATTTTAATTTGGTCCAAGAAGAAAAGCAATATGAGTTTAAAAAATTTAATAATAAGATCCCTGATGTTTGATTATGAAATAAATTATGGGCATGCTTATTTTTTCACAACCCTGAAGCTTCATGAAGGTCCAAAAATTAACCATCTACCTTAATAGCAATAGCATGCATGCACTTATCGACTTGAACTTTGGGGACCATTCATTTTTCAACCCTGGACCGAATATAATACAGTTTTGAATGATGTAATGCTAGCATGTCGACATGACATAAAAAATCTTCAAAGTTATCACTTTCTCTATGGCGTATATAAAACCTAAAAATAAAGCAAAATAAAGTAACCATCTCATAGAAATATCTTACAAATATGGATAAAACCATATTTTACGTACTTGATAAACTTTGTTTTGCAGTGGGCCTAATTTACAGTTCCAAATACTACTAAGAATTTTTTTTTCTATATTCAAAGTAATTTAATAATTCAAAAAAATGAATTTTTCAACTGTTGAGTAAGTATTTTAATTTTAAAAGTAGTGTACTCTGTTTCTTTCGAACACGCATGAGATTTGCATACCATTCCACTAAGCAAGAAATAAAAGAGACGGTCTTACAAAGAAAAAAACGAAAAACACAAAAAACACAACCACGCACACCCCCTTCTAGGGTACAAGAGCTATTGCCCTACTTGGAGCTTCGAAGCTCCCGCCAAACACCAAATCGCGCCCTCTTTAGCAATTGCCAAGACTACTTTCGTCACGCTAGGAGTAACACCATTGAAAACACAAGCATTTATGTGTCTGAAAATTTCCCAAGCGACCAAGATAATCATGGTTGAGCCACTTCTCATTCTTATGCAACCCTTTTATTACTTTTGACCACCAACACAAAAATTTTCACGTGTCTTGATCCAATAAAATTAGTACTCTCTGATTATATGACATTGTTTAACACTAATTTTAGTGTAAAAAATGTCATATATCAATGACCTGGAAGAGTATGTGAACTTTGAAAACTCTAAGAGAAATATATGTTGCAGAAATAGTGGCTTTAATAAAAGTTTATTTGTCTCATAAGATATGGTTTTAGTAAGATTTTGAACTTATTTTGTACATGAAAATTATGCTCTATTTTTCTTGTACCACATTTATTTAGGTTTAAATACTACATGCAGCAGGAAATATATTTTTAGTGCTGTTCAAAGTCATTTACTAATTTCTATGTTTTTAAATATTTTTAGTGTATCAGCACATGTACATCACCATGTTAGCACCGTGTCACCAAAATTACTACTACCTCCGTTTCAGGTTATAAGACTTTCTAGCATTGTCCACATTCATATGGATGTTAATGAATTTAGGTACACATATATGTCTAGATTTATTAACATATATATGAACGTGGGCAGTGCTAGAAAGTCTTATAATATGAAACGGAGGAAATATATGTTTAGGCCATGCTTGAAATTAAGTGCATGGCTTTTAAAATTAAGCGTTGTAGACATCGATTGCAACAGAAATTTGAGCACAAATTGTCTAGAAAGACACTATTAACTTATTATATACCTGATTAAAGCATAATAGTTACATACGAATTTGAAATATGATATATTTTTAATTGTCACGTTTCAGAGGTATCCGGATGATCCTTACGATCGATTGTGGTGGCCATGGCAAGGTAGCTCAAGATTGCTCAATATATCTACAAACCAGACGATTAAACGCTACTGGAATGACAAATTCGAGGTGTCAGCCCGAATCCTTCAAGCTGCAGTCACCTCGCCTGCCACCTCCATCCCCCTCAACTTCTCATGGACAATTCCTACCAGCTGGCCTACTATCGAAGCAGTGCCTGCATACTACGTTGACGTGCACTATACTGAATTCCAAAAGCCACAGGGGCGTGAGTTTAATACATACTACAATGGCGCGTTGTGGCCAGCAAACGAAAACCCAATTACGCCACCTTACCTCTTAGCAGACTACACTTTCTCTACTTCTCAATACACCTCTGATAATGGTTTCTATAACATCTGCCTCGTTGCTACCAACACCTCTATTTTGCCTCCCAGTCTCACTGCCTTTGAGATATATTACCTGGTTCAACACAATGGCACCATGACTTCTCTAGAAGATGGTAAGTATAATCATTCTCCTGATCTCTTTGGTCTCCAAGCACCACTCAATAGCTTTCTTTCCTTTTTTTCACTAGTATAGTGCCTGTGCGTTGCAACAGGATTTTAGTTAAGGAAAATTATCATTAACCCGTTATTACCATTATTTTCTGCATATATCATCTCTTAATTGCTTCATGTATTTGTTACACAATTTTCCTTCCCACAAAAAGTAGAGTTGGTGGGGTGGTTGACATGTGAGCCCTCTAGCCCCACTGGTCTCTTTTCCTCTAGAAAAAAAAAGGTAGAGTTGGTGGGGGTGGTGATCGGGGTTGTGGCAAAACCATCACTACTTTCTTTAAAGGAGTATAGAAACTAAACCACTCAATAGTTTGTTTTGTTAACTCCCACAGATCATCATAGTAATACAAACAAAGAGGACAAGGATGGAAGGTGGAAAAAAGAACTTGCCTGATAAAATGAATCAATTTGAAGTTTCTAGAAAAGTACCTCCACTACGAGATCCCTGCTAAAACCTCTCCAATATCAGTTCCCACCTTTGAGGGAATTTAATTGCAATCACTAAAATTTCAATCATGCTCTGTCAAGAGTACTTTCCTTTTTAGAAAAGAAATGATTGAATTATTCTCTTTTATATGTGATTGATTCTGTAAAAATTTTATATGGCTGTCTGCCATACTTTTCCTCTTCCAAACCCTAAGTGTTATCTAATGCTATTTTCTCCTATACAAACATTGTAGTGGGATAAGATTTTTAAGTAGAGGACAAATGATCCATATATGCTAGATCCAACAAAGGTACAAATTTAAGATGATGTTCGAGCTCTCCGACTGCTTCTTTTCTACACAGCTTTAGGAAGAGTTGTATAATTTGCTGACAATCACAAAATACCTAGAGAAGGTTTCTTGGAGTCCATCGACTCTAAAACTCAGATAAGAGATTATTCAAATCAAATTTAAAAATTCATAGTTGACTGCATAAGAACTTACTGAAAAAAAAGTTTCTTCTCAGCATTGAGTGCCATCACATTTCCTTATCTTCCATCCAAATACCTGAAAAAAGAAACATCTTTTTAGTTGAATCAACCAAAATATATGAAGCAAGAGCAAGACCCGTGCATGTCGTGCAAATTAATCAGATTTCTAACTTAAGTTCTTATAAGATTTACTAATGTATCTCCTCCTGTTTCCTTTTTATTGTAACTAGTTGATGCTATGATGACTCTTAAAACTGAGTATCAAGTTAAGATGAACTGGATGGGTGACCCATGTCTACCAGAAAACTATACATGGACCGGGTTGAAATGTCAGAGCGATGGAGTCACTTCAGGAGTAACATCTCTGTAAGTGTGCGGGTATATTAACAAATGTTTTTTTTATTTCCACTAGCTAATTGTAAAGATGGTTAATCCAACAGCAGACATATTAATTTGTATCTTGCTCTAATTTATCCAAGCACTCTTTACTTCTCTGTGAACCTTATTTTTCAGAGACTTGTCCAACAGTGATTTGAAAGGTGCAATATCTGATAAATTTTCTTTGCTGAAATCACTACAGTACTTGTAAGTATAATTATTATGAATACATGATGTATTACTAGTTAGCATTGCATTCAATGCAACAGTACATACAAGTGGGAAGTTTCACAAGATTTATTTCAGGAATTTGTCATACAATGATTTAAATGGATCAGTACCTGACTCTTTAGTAAACCTACCCCTCCTTGCCCTGTAAGTTTTATCCTCTAGCAGTTTATAAAGCAGGGAGTTATTCAAAGTAATTGAAAAAATTATTTTTTCTATTAATGCACCTGCAGAGATTTGTCAGGGAACCATCTTATCAGTACTATTCCTGATGCCTGATGCACAAAACAGTCACTCACATTGAGGTTTGAATTTCTTCTGGTCTTTATTTGTTCTTTATATTTACTATTACAATGTTAAGAATAAATTTATAAAAATGGCTTGCAATAATTGGACTTACTTGGAGAAGTTTAATGCATTAAAGTATCTGAACAGTAGTCTAAAATGGCAGGAAGTCGGGACATAATGGAGCTTATAGTCATATGTTGATTTTGGATTTATGGTGAAATATATAACAGTGTATCATGTGTTGAGTTCAATGTTACTGGTCTGGAAGATGTTTATAGCAACCATGGAGCATCCCTAATTTTCATGTCTTTCTACCCATTTCAGTTACAACTTACAACAATATTTTCGTTGTTTCAGGTATGACACCACAAACGGAGATCCATGTAATGGAAAATCGCAAGAGAAGAAAAACACAGTTGTCCTATTTGTTGCCATATTTGTCCCAGTCCTAATTGTGGCTATTCTAGTTTCTACTTTGCTGGTGTGTTATTTTTTTAGAAAACAAGGTAGATCTGCTTTGCCAATTCTTGCACCATTTCATTTATTACACAGGATTTCAGAAACTGGCTATAACATCTGACTCTCAAATAAATATTGACCAATTATTTTCCTATTAAGTTTCCGGAATCAAATTTATAATTAGAATCTAAAATTTAGACAAATGGTTTCAAGGCTATCAGCCTATCACGGATCACTAATTTACTATTGCATATACACATAAAAATCATATGATCTTAAAATATTTTTTTCTTTAATGGAATACATGTGATTTGACCTAATACAGCTTCAAATATGCTAATTGGATGCACTGACATTCCAGCCACCACACATAAAGAAGACCATGAAGATCACATACACATATCTGATGGCCGTGAGTTCACATATACAGAGCTCATAGAAATGACAAATAATTTCTCAGTGTGCATTGGTGAAGGAGGGTATGGGCCTGTCTTCCATGGATGACTAAAAGAAGGTACTCAGGTTGCTGTCAAGATGCATTCTCCAACATCAACAATAGGGAAAGGAATGACAGAGTTCTTAGCTGAGGTATTCATTAATTTCAGCCCACACAACTAACATGAATGCAATATATAGGTTTGTTTTTCCATTGCACCATGCTTTTTGTTTGAGTGAATTTTGTTTTCATCATCCCAAAAAGTGCATTTCTTTTGTACCACTACTATTCATCCGTTCATTTTATTTTAGCCATTGACATCTTTTATCAGTTAAAAATCACACTATCAGGCAATGTTCATAAAGTATTAAAAAGTTCCATTGTCTCCCGGTAGGTAATGGCAGTGGTAAAACCAAAACCCCATTGACGGACAATAGTAGCAAAACGAAAATGCACATTTTGAGATGGCAAAATAAGTACATAACTGCAGAAACAGGAACTTTCTCTTCATTGTTTACCTCACCCTCATAGATATAGTCTCTTTGCAAATATCCTTGACCCCAAATGGCATGCATCAATGTTATTTCTGATTGTTTTCATTAGCTTTCAAACAGCTTAAATGTTTCAAGTACTTGTTTTGACTAATTCAATAATTAGGAGAGTTTGGTAATTGTAATACACTATTTGGCTGAAAATTTCCATGCACATATGTGGTGCATTACAATTAATTAAGTACTAAATCATCCATCGTACGACAAGTTGTTTTTTGGATGTTGAAAAGATCTAACAATAGGAATTCCTGAGGTTTATAAATTATTGCATAAAATATACCAAGTCAATTGCTAGAAAGTTAAGGGACAAAAATTAACTCCATCACTTTAATCAACAAGATATCTTTGACCTGGCTTTACAACTGAAGAAAGCATTTAGTAACATCCGCAGATTCTTAATATGTTTTACTATCTTACTTTGTAGGTTGAAAGCTTAACAACTGTGCACCATAGGTATCTTGTTTTTCTGGTTGGCTATTGCAGTAACAAGAATCATTTAGCTCTTATTTATGAGTATATGCCAAACGGAAGCCTTTATGATCATATACGAGGTTTGTGATATGCAAACTTCATGTTGGCTTTATTGTGCTGTGTCATTCCTGTAGAACTATAAGAATGTCTTACTCAATATTGTAATATGTCAAGGATTTATAAATTGTCAATTGATTACATCTTGTAAACATCCAGGACTACATAAAAAAGAGTTTCCAAATATGGACAGTATTTCATAGGGCATACCTATAGATATGAATATTAAATTACAACTAATATCTTTTCCCATCCATAAATTATGAAGCGTATACAAATTTGGAATGATACTAATTGTTTGCATAACTAAGTTAGCAATAGCAGACACAAACGGTATTAGAACACCCTTCAACATTATTATGAACAAAAAGACTAAGGTGCAACCATGAAAGTTTATGTGTCATGTGTTAGGAGCTGTAAGTAACTAAGTGTGTTCCGTTAGTGTATAATCTGCTCCACACTGTTACATTTTCATCATTAGATTTTTTTTTAAAAAAAAAACATGTGTACTCAATGGATCTTTTAAAACAATAAATTGTGTGATTTCAGAACTATCAGTAGAGAGTAAATTCTAATATGACGGGGTAACTAGTTTTGCCATAGTTCATAGGTGTATCATAAACAAGCTTGCTGATACTCAATTTGGACTTGTGTGACATAATCTTACTAACTTTTTAGTGGTCATTTAGGCAAAAATGCAATTGTCCAAACATTGGGATGGCATGATCGAGCACGTATTGCACTTGAAGCTGCACAAGGTTAGTCTTGAGAGAATATATTTTGTTAAATATGCAAGCTAATACACTGAACATGCAATTTTCTACGTAGGTTTGGACTACTTGCATACAGGCTGTATGCTACCAATAATACACAGAGACCTGAAGTCACAGAACATTCTACTCGGGCATGACATGGTTGCAAAGATCTCAGATTTTGGATTATCCAGGTCTTATCTCAATGATGCACAAAGTCACATATCTGTGACAGCTGCTGGAACTCTAGGCTACATCGATCCAGAGTTTGTTGCTATACCTACTTTATCCAATAATCACCTATGAATTAGTATTAGGAAGTGAAAAAACTAGCTTTCACTAAATACGCACTGTTGCATTGGTTCATCCTGAATTGGTTACAAAATAAACTTGAAAGTTTGATAAGAAAACCAATATTGGCAAATACTAATTGGGTGTTTGATACAAACTGTGTTTATCCAGGTACTGTCTTAGTGGTAGACTCACTATAAGTAGTGATGTCTTCAGCTTTGGAGTGGTTTTGCTTGAGATTGTGACAGGCGAACCCCCAATCATATCAACCACCGTGCACATTGTGCAGCGTGTAAAGGAGAAGGTTTCTATGGGCAATATCGAGGCAATTGTTGACCCACGATTTGGTGGCGAGTACGATACCAATTCAGTCTGGAAGGTTGTGGACATAGCACTGTTGTGCACCAAGGAAGCATCTCATGAAAGGCCAACAATGAGTACAGTGGTGGCAGAGCTAAAGGTTGCATTAGCATTGGAAAAGGCTCGTGCAAGTGGTAGCATTAGTGACATTAGTCAAGGAGGTGCCAATTTCGAGCTATCAATTAACTCACTGCTGTCAGCAAGATAAGAGTGTTTGCGAGCATATTCCAGTCAGTGTTAAAACCTCCTTATTTATAAGTGTAATAACCATCAATAAGCACGCATGGAGTTGCGTTGTGCCCTCTGGATTTGCAACTAAAATTGCTTCATGAGGGATGTATCAGAGACATAACATTACATGTGTTCCTTATCCTATTAAATCAGCACGAAGCTTTTGCTTTGTTGAATGAGCATTGTACTCCCTCCGCTTCTAAATATTTCACGCCGTCGATTTTTTTAAATATGTTTGACCGTTCGTCTTATTCAAATTAAATAATTATTAATTCCTTTCCTATTATTTGATTCATTGTTAAATATACTTGTATGTATACATATAGTTTTACATATTTCATAAAAGTTTTTGAATAAGACGAACGGTCAAACATGTGCTAAAAAGTCAACGGTGTTAAATATTTAGAAACAGAGGGAGTATAAAAATTAAATCAGCAAGCAAGCATTAGCTCATTACCAATTGTACCATGACTTCAGGAATGTGGAAGTTTCTCCTGTAATAATCTGGATCAACATGCTGCATAAATCTAGCTTGCCTGAGAGACAGATCTGCACGAACTGGCAACTGCAGGAACAAATATCAGGACGGAATCAGTTTTCGTTGAGCAAATAAATCATCAGGACGCATCTCCTCGCGTTCCCAGGAACGAGCACGTGCCCACGAAGACCATTTACCTGAAGAACGCTTCTCCGGCGTGCGGATCGTACTGCGGCCAGCGATGGCGCGCTCGCGGGCGTTCGTCGAAGCCCCCATCGATGCCGGCGGGCGGAGTTCGTAGGTGGGCGCGCGATGTGGTCGGTGGAACAAGTGGGTAGCTAGCGGCGCGGAGTGGTGGTGGACTCGGCGGAACTCGATCGCCGCCGCCGCCGGCGGGCGAGGAGCCAAAGAGGCGAAGCCCCCGCAGTCGAGCTCGTCGGGCTTGGCCTCCGGCATCGTGGGCGGATGGGCCGGACCAAGGGTGAGGCTAACGGGCCGGAACGGTGTTGCAGTTGGGCTGGCACGTGATTCTGTGCTGATTTCAGTTGTGGGCTCAACGGGAAGTGGCAACTAGACTGTGACCAAAGTTTCATTTTGGATTATTTTTGAGCCAATGTAATATTTTCTTTCCTTCCATTTTTTTACCACCCTTTCTATCCATCTCTCTCTCTCTTTTATGGAAGAAATGAATATATTACTTATTTAAAATGTCCTCGCAAACTAATTGTGAGATAAATTTACATGTTCCTTCCAATCAGAAATCTGAAATAGATTCAGACCTTGATCTATTAGCTAATAGGTGGCTAACATGATTTTGGCTACGGTGGATTTTGATATAAGGGCATCTACAATGTGAGCCACTCCTAAAGTGTACTCACTAACTGAGAATACTCGTAGGAGAACTCAGCTCGCAATGGAGGATATCCCTGAATGGGTTCCTCAAGATCTGAAGCAACCCGGTGGAGATACTCCTGTCCACAATGGGTGTCCTAGCCCACGAAGTCCATTTACTTCCCTACCTCCCTCTTCTCTTTTTCTTCGCCCCACTCTCTCTCCCTCTCGCCGCCGCGCCACTCTCTCTCCCTCTCACCGCCGCCCCTCGCATCTCCCTCTTGCCCGGCGGACGATGTGAGCAAGGGGACGACCCAAGGGTACCCATTGTAGATGGCCTAAAGGCCTTCGCTTCACTGACTATGTAGGCTAGTTCTAAGTGGTCCTTCTCCTTTGAGTTTAGCAGTTAGATAACTGTTGCACAATCAGTCTTGACTTTGATGGGGACCAGTGTCCACTGGATGGCCAAAGCAATTCCTTCTGCACATGTCGGAAACTCACTGGCATCGTCACTACTTGGGCCGCTGCTCCAACCGAAGCTCCACCCAGCGGCGTCTCCATCGGTGGGGAAAGGCAAACAGGAGAGAGGGGAGATAAAAAGTGAAAAAGAAGATACTGGTGGGTCCATTGCAAATAGCCTGCACTGTGAATCAGAGCTTAGGCCTAGTTGGTAACCGAGACATAAACAAATAATATGCGCTGTGAAGCATGTGTCTACATTGGGGCTTGGCTCTGGTTGGCAACTGAGACTCACAAAGTACGGTACTTGAACAGCTATTTTCGCCCTGAGTTTAAGTAGGGTATGTGGAATCCGATAAAAGTTTGTGTTTGAGCAGGACTGACATGGCGGATCTGGAGCACAAGCACGTAGGCCCCCCTGAAAAAGCCAGAGCTCAATGTTGAGTTCTAATTTGCAGTATTTCCGGATAGGAGTAGTTGAAAAGAATAAATAACAGTTGTACTACAATATAAAAATGGACATAAAACACATCCTCTCTGTAGCTAGCGTATGGCTCAAGATTGATAGAACTAGGATGTTTCATCCAATTCTAAGTTTAGGACGAAGGAAGCAGATGGTTTGTAATGACGGAATTATTGATGTCAAAGTGAAAACGCCGACACGCGGAACAGAGCAGCCTATATACGTCAAACTCTACTCAAAACCACAGCAGTATGAACACAGAAAAAAAATAATCAATTTCCTCTCCGTGTCAACTGATCATATATATTCATATATACTCCCTCCGTTCCTTTTTAATTGTAACAATTAACTGGTAATACAACTTTGACAGCTAATTATTTTTTAATCGATTAGATTATTATGAACGTATAGTACTTATATGTTAATTAGTAATGTACTTTGATAATATATATAGCATCTATCTAAGTATTTAGATTTTTTTTTGAAAAAAAAGAATGAATAAAGTTTAAATATGGATAGTACTTTATAACAAATATAAATGAGCGGAGAAAGGATATGTGTGCCACTATGCATCTCGTACGTCTTAATTAATTTGCGATTGATTCGATCGTATAATGAGCCACAGCAGTCACCGTCCTAACAGAAGATTGTTTGGGGATTCTTTAAGCATGCATGCGTGCGCATGAGGTCCCCAAGAATCAAAAATCAAAATCAGCTGGCCCAGTTCACACGGTGTAAACTGTGTTCACTCGGTTTCTCCTTACTCCTGTCGCTCTCAAGGTTTTCTTCTGTTAAAGTCAGCTTATTATTGTCGTTCACCTTGGACTGGTGCTAATATCCCCTCTCTCTCTCTCTCACACACACACATATACATAAAAAGAAGACTGTTTACACAATTGGTAGATATATATTGTACTCTAGTCACGGGGTTCACAATTCTGGAATCCTAGTTCGAATTCTGCGAAATCCAAACCTTTTAGATCGGATCGAAAATACAACCGACTCGATTTCTAGGTTAAGTTTAAAAAAATCAAAATTTTAAATATTTCACAAATTTTATCTGGATTTCAACAGGTTTGTCGGTTTATCAACGGATTCTGTAAAATCCAATGATACCGCTCATGAACTGATTGTAAACTCTCGTCTAGTACTCATGCCCAGTTTCTTACCTTTGACCTACCACTAAACATGCATTCATGCATTCGTTAGTAGTTCCTCCATTCCAAAATAAATAAACCTAATAGAAAATGTGATACATTAATTCTACTACTATCAACCTGGATATGCCATCCCAATTTTAGGACGGAGGGGGTATGCTGTAGTTTGTGAGATCAAATTAAGGTCATCCACCTATTGTGTCTCACATAATTGTTCAATCCTTTTTAGCTAATAAAGTAATTTCTTGCACATTAAATTAACGTAATAATTAGTGAAGAATTGATGTCACGTTCCATTTTTATTTTAAATGGAGCCTCTGAGTTGATGGTCTGTCTAGATTTCCAACGTTAAGTACTCCCTCCGTTCCTTAATATAGGGCGTAACTGCTTTTGAGCCCAGTTCCATAATACAAGGCGCAGCTCCTAGTTGCATGCAGAAATTGATTAGTACTCTTGGGCTCCTGTGTTGAGCTGTTGCATGCATGCAGAATTAACTGTGTTTGGCTTTTAAAAAGCCCCTCTCTCTCACTGCTTCATGGCTGCATGGCTGCAGAAGTCAGGTGCATGCTGCATGGCTCTTAATACCAGCGTATCTACCGGTGCAAGTATCAAAATTTCACACGGTGTAACTGCTGTTGAAACAGTTTTATTGATCTTTGCAATACAACACTCACGCCCTGTATTAAGGAACGGAGGGAGTATTGCTTTAGAACGCAAGGATGTGAATGTGAAAGCAACCGAATTTTTTTACTGTATAAAAAGAAAAGGTAAACGGATATTCTTTCGTGTAAATGAGGAGAGAAAAAGAAGATTCCATCCTCTTTGTTCAAAGTTCTTTTTAAGTTTAGGCCCCGTTTAGTTCTCAAATTTTTTCCCAAAAACATCACATCAAATCTTTGGACACATGCATAAAGCATTAAATATATATAAATGAAAAAACTAATTGCATAGTTAGGGAGGAAATCGTGAGGCGAATCTTTTGAGTCTAATTAGTTCATGATTAGCCATAAGTGCTACAGTAACCCACATGTACTAATGACGGATTAATTAGGCTCAAAAGATTCGTCTCGCGGTTTTCAGGCGGATTATGAAATTAGTTTTTTCATTCGTGTCCAAAAACCCCTTCCGACATCCGGTCAAACATCCGATGTAACATCCAAAAATTTTCTTTTCGCGAACTAAACAGGCCCTTAACCGTCAAATCGTTGAAGATGTCCGGTTTTCATCCTACGCTAAAACCTTTTTTTTTCTGTTCCAACCTATATGTATCTGCAGCACCACCACACCAGCATGGTTTTCTATACCAGACAAATCTTTTAATCTACCAATAAAAATTCAAGTCTAAATTCAGTCTAAGACGATGAACAAAACAAGACAAACTGAAGTAAATAGTATTAGTTTTTTTATTTACTTTCTAGCAAGATTTGGGTTTTTGTTCTCAATCAAGGTTGTCAAAGTCATAGATTCTGAATCAGATTGAAAAAGCTTGCAATAAGATCATAAAATTGTAGATTCTATATAGCGACCACAATCATAGTATCAATCATGTCAAGTTAGATCGTCAAAGTCATATATATATAGAGTCAGTAGACAAAATTGAGATTTTGATCTCATTATGTACTCCAAATTAAATTTCAACATACATGCTAGAAAATGTGGTATAGTCCAAGCCGATACCTACTCAAGAACCATAATATCACTCTTTCTATAACAAAGTGAAAGAAATAATAGTGTAAATTTCACAGAACTATAGGTATTTTGACCAAAATATTATAAAATTACATATTTAAGGCGATGTATCACAAAACTATAGATTTAAGGTCTAAGTATCATAAAACTACATACTCCCTCCTCTTTTATGGATGATGCCTGACCATTCATCTTATTCAAATGTTTTATACAAATCTATAAGATATAAATCATGCTTAAAGTACTTTGAGTGATAAAACAACTAACAATAAAACAAATTATAATTATGTGTTTTTTTAAATAAGACGAAAGGTCAAACATGTGATAAAAAAAGTCAATGGTGTCAACTATTAAAAAATTGTGATAGTATTTAATATTGAAGTTATTACAAAACTATATATTTTAGAGTTTAAATCCCTAGCACTATTGTTAATTACATTGGAGCTATATAAACAATGTAGTTTTGTGACTAAATTGGTTCTAAACATGTAGATTTATGGCAATTTTGTTGCTAAATGTATAGTTTTGTGACACCCCATCTTAAATGTGTAGTTTTGTAATAAATTTAGTGTTACATCTATAGTTTTATGATACACCGAGTTAAATATGTAGTTTTGTGATAGTTTGGTCTTAATATCTGTAGTCTCGAAATATTATTTCAAGATATTCTCATACATTTTCTTTATTAGAAATATGCCACCTTAACTTCTTCTTGCTTAATTTAAGACATATAACTTTCTTTCATTCTCCTCTAAATTTACTTAATTTTAATTTAATGCCATGTTTATACACGACATACCGTTTCTATTATTACAAAAGCAAGACGCCACGCTTCCTAAAAGGTGCAGTAACATCATGACACGTTTTTTTTGAGAGAAGGATTTTTTTTCTTTTTACCTAGCCTGTACATCCAATCGGATATATGCAGCCTTTTATATCGAGAACTAATTAGCCCATCAAATAATCCAATATGAAATTTGCTCCTACAGAGATTTGAACTCACATCATCACGTGCTTGAAAGTCAAAAATGTCATCTTCCAAAGAAAAGGAAAGAAACCATATATGTAGTACTCAGCCCCTTTTTTTCGACCAATACTTATCGGTGTCAAGGTAAAAGAACAGGAAAGAAACCGCCTCGCTGACTCCAAGAGTTATATATACTGTGTTCATGAAGTTTCACACAAGGAAAAGAAAAACATAGGAAGATAGTGCAGTCAGAAGAGCTTCAAGATCTCAGATATATATATGAAGTGTCCCTCAGCTTGGTTATTATTAGCTATTTTCAATGTGTTAGTGCATACGTGTAAGCTCAGCAAGCTTTATTAGGTATGATTCTACTGTGCTTCTTAAACAAGTGAATTTTCGTGAAAGTAACTAATATAGATGCCTTCATATATTTTCTCCATTGTACAAACTTAAATTACTCTGGTCCCTAGCTTGTTTGCAGTTTAGATAGAAACAAAATTCGGATACAAGTAAATATTTATCACACCATTAATTTTGCCAGCAAGAAAGCATATATATGAGGAGCCATAGCGTCGGACCGTTTTTGCAGATCTTCGCTGTATGACGACAATGGCGCTCTTGCTTTTCTTCGCTGCATTCGCGTTATCCGCTGCAACTCATGCCGTCGGCCAGCCAGGTTTGCAAGATCTTGATTTTTGCAAGAGCTTGATTTTTCACCCCATGCAAGTGCAATCGACGGCGTGCTAATTAGTTTGTTAATCTCTGTATGACATATCAAAGTGATGATGAGATACTTAATTATTATCGGGTCCATGCATGAGATTTTGTAGGTTTGTTAACACGACGTTTCTCGTTACTTTGATTTGTGAGTATTTCATTTTCATGGAAGATCGTTGCACGCAGCTGGTTTCCTGAGCATTGACTGTGGCCTAGAGGCAAACTACAGCGGCTACACGGACACCATCCACGGCATCTTCTACGTCTCCGACGGCTCGTACGTTGACGCCGGGGAGAACCACGGGGTGGCTGCTGACCAAGAGAGCGGCCGTATACGCCCTGACTTGACCGTCCGGAGCTTCCCCTCTGGCGTGCGCAACTGCTACGCGCTTCCCACGAACGCCGGGAACAAGTACCTGGTCCGGGTGGTGGCCTTCTACGGCAACTACGACGGCAAGAACAGCTCATCGTCGTTGCAGTTCGACCTGCACCTCGGGTCAAACTACTGGGACACCGTGCAGGCCGGTAGTACTAAGCAAGTGTACGAGGCATTGTTCGTGGCGTGGGCCAGCTGGGCGCCGGTGTGCCTCATCAACACCGGTCAAGGTACACCGTTCGTGTCATCGGTGGAGCTGAGGATGTTAGGCAGCGAGCTCTACCCGCATGTTATGACCAACCAATCCATGCGCCTACATTTCCGGGACATTTTGGGGCCAACAACCGTTTCCAGATCTGTTGCTCGGTATGTATATTTGTGTCGTCGTCCTTTCTCCTTGGAAAGCATATTTTTAAGGGGATGTCTCCTATATGTTTTTTCATCTCACTTAAACAACATAGATCATTGCATTATATATCATTTTATAAACAATCATTTTAAAATTTGATCTATACAAATTAGAACAAAAGAACAAATCTAAATCTACACAGCAGTTTTACTACATCGACTTTAATTTGTTATTTTTGTGAGATGATAGATGACCACTAATATCAATTCATACATCAATTTTATTTAGATTTTTTAAAATTATTTTGTTGAGTGGTTTAAACAAACTAGTAGGATATATGCCTTTTAAGGATCGATTAAAAAAACCAGCTTTATTGCTAACTTCTGGTCGGTAACTCATGCATTCGGTATAAGTGGGCTATTGTGACGTTATACAGTTTTTGTTTTTGTTCTGATTTGTTTTTTTTTTTGGCAAAAGCTAGCATGTCTTTAATTCATGCATTTATCTCTGTTTGAAATTATACATATATGTAAACAACTATATACAGATTATTTTTAAACACATATTCATTTACTAAACAAATAAGAGCACTACCTAGTTGCATCCTAACATTATATTACCGCAGCTAACTACTATATATTTGCGAAAAAGTAAAAATTATAACTATATAGGAAAGTATTTTGAAGAAATTAAATATACTACTATCATTTTCTCATATTAAATCTTAATATTTCAGTGTATATTTTTTATTCAAAATTTCAAGGTTTGACTGAGCGCGAATTCTAATACATCGTGGTGTAACAAATTATCCCATCACATTAGTGACCCCACTAATCAACAGTCTCACAATATGAATAACAATCAAAGATTAATATTTTGTAAAAGCCAATTGGTCAATTAATATGAAAGAGTAAGCACGGCAGGTGGCCAAAGAAGAAAGTTACAAAGAAACGCATCCTATCTTACCGTAAAGTTGATGTCTACTAACTTTCAAAGCTCAACGTGCAAGTGCACCACATCATCACTCACTAACAATTATTATCTACAGTATTTCAAATCACATGTAAATTATTATCTAGAGTATTTTAAACATATTATTTATAATTTTGTTATATTTTTAAAACTTAATATGCAAGCAATGTCAAATCATTATTTTTACATCATTTTCATATTATTTAAATATATATGCACATATCATTTCTATAATATATAATATATATTCATTCACATATCCCATAGCAAAGTGCGGGGTATCAACTATCAACTAGTGTTATTGACCATTAATGACTGGACGATTTGTCCATGCCCTACCCAGCATATGAATGTAGTTATTTTAAGTAATAATAATAGGAGTTACTAATACCTTCTGCTTCATATCCATGCAAACTTAAAAGATGTATTCGCCCCCATATTAAATTACTTACTTCCCACACTACTTAAAAAAGGCACATAGAGGGTGTTGGCCTTATAGGTACTGGAAGCTCTAAAACCAACACATATATACCTTTTCTTATCTCCGTAGGCTGAGAACACAAAAAAAAGGACACCTTTAAGAGACTATAGGTGTCATTTTTGTTTAAAAAAAACCATCATCTTTAATTTATTATAGGTATCGGTTAATTAAAAAACCGACACCTATAATATATTATAGGTACTAGTTTTCCCAAAAACTGAGCCGACCAATGGTCTTGAGCGGATAAGGCCAAGATGAGGGTTCGGTCTCTCCTGGTCTACTCTTCTCCGTCTTTATCTCGCGGTCCCCTCTCTCTCTCTCGCGCGTGTTCCACTCTCTCTATCAGCCCGGCGGCAACGGCGCCCTCCCCTCCGCCAGATCCGGCGGGAAGGGAGGCGGCGTGCAGCGGCAGCACCCTTTGTGTTAGTGTTGATGTTCTTAGTGTTTAGTGCTTAGTGTTGATGTTCTTGAATGTTGTTGAGTTCTTGGATACCGATTAATTATATGAATTAAATTTCTATGGAATCAGAGTGAAAGGGAGCTGCTCGACGAGCCGCTTTTTTTGGGATTCTTGAGACCTCAAATGTGCCGGTTCCAAAACCGGCACCTTTGATTTCCCTCATCTGTGCCATCTTGTAGGTGCCGGTTGGGAACCCGGCACCTATCCTTGTTTTTATAGTAGTGCCAGTTCCATAATATGAAACATAAAATTTTGTACATTGCCTCTAACAAATAGTTTTGACTATAATTTCATCTATAAAATATCATCAGTGGTTACAAAATTAACATGATAGTTTCAAATACAAATATAGTGATACGATATGTGTGGCACTAAACATTTGTATGTTAGTTTCATCATTAGTCAAAAGTTGACTTTCCTTAAAAAAGGGCAACTTATAATTTTGGACGGAGAAAATATTATTTTACTATCATATCTCGTAGTGGTACCAAACTACCAACCAAGGAGATTTAGTAAATTGTATTGTTACCTCATTAAATACATCTCGATATTTTTCAAGTTATAGTCACTAATAACCGTGATTAGTGAAATTATGGCTGTATTAATGATGGCATGTAGAGAATATCTCCTCTAAAATTGCTTTGGAACGTGAAAATGACAATCATTTTGATAGATAATTTTAATGTTAAAATGATAAGTAATCTCTTAAACTGAGGAGTACTATATATTATTTTTTTACACATGAGGGGAGAAACTTATTAACATATATGGTTGCTATACCAAGCAGGGAAGAGAGATTTTCTGTAGCTGCTCCATTTTCTTATGAGTCAGAATAACAGCACACGACTATATATGATATAATCCCCCCTCCCCCCTCTTGCTACTCGCTGCGTCCTAAAATTTATTGATTTTTGACTTTTAAAAATAAAATCTAAACATAGGCTATGCTGGATTCATAGCCAGAAATCAATTTAATTTTTGGAACGGAGGGTGTATGTTCTCCTAATATTGTTCAAAAGTTTATTGGGTTTCTGTACTTCTGTTCTTCAGCCAGTCCTGTGTGCTTTGATAATGTGTAGAAGGGTGACTAGCTAGCTTTCAGGTATTATATGCATTTCATATCCCAAAGGCCCAGTGGGTAGATATAAAAAAGCTAGATTTCCCAAGGTATTTCTAAAGCTTTTCTTCTCCATCAATATGATAAATAAACTAATACCAACTCAACCAAATGCATCAAGATAGAGGACATGGAAGAGAGTTTAGGGTTACCACTATGAGAATGGTTCTTTAAATTCCTTATGATCGGCATGTAATATCTCCTCAAAAACACTCAAGGGCCGTATAACTGCCGGTTGACTTCAGCTGTGACTTGAGCAAGCTATAATAGAAAATGAACTGGCATCTGTACATGAAAATAGAAGCACAACGGAGACATGAATTTTACGTGGAAAACCCTTGCGAGGAAAAAAACCACGGGCGTCGACCGGCAATGATCACTATAGAGGAGTTGATTACAAATGTAGGGGAATAATAATGGGAACGTCATCCCTTCCCGTACGGCTTACAAGAGAATATATAGGAGATAAAAGAAAGACATCTAATAGGATAAGACATGTAATCCTACTAGGAAATTAATCCAAATATACTGTGGGCTCAAAATTCGGATCATATATTTAACAATCTCCATATTGAGATGAATTTCCTCTTGTAGCATAAAAAACATCAATCACCAAAAATACCTCATGTAGGTAAAATCACCGTACGCCAAATAGTCTCTAGGACTATACTGTAACACCCACCAAGCTTGAGCAAAGATCAAACTTAGTAGCAGAAACTGGCTTTGTCATCATATCAGCTGGGTTATCATGAATACTTATCTTGCATACCTTGACATCACCTTCAGCAATCACACCTCGAATAAAGTGATATCTCACATCAATGTGCTTTGTTCTCTCATGGAACATTTGATCCTTTGTAAGACATATTACACTTTGACTATCACAAAATATATTAATGCAAAGACATAACTCCACAAAGCTCAGTGTACAAACCTCTAAACCAAATAGTTTCTTTACAAGCTTCAAAAATAGCCATATACTTTGCTTTAGTAGTTGATAAGTCAACAGTTGCTTGTAAACTTGCATTCCAACTAACAGCACATCATCCAATAGTGAAAACATAATATGTGAGCGATCTTCTCCTATCCAAATCTCCAGCAAAATTTGAATCCAGATAACCAACAAGTCCATCTCTAGATCTTCCAAACTGCAAACAAGCACTAGATGTACCACGTAGGTATCTGAAAATCCATTGAACAGCTTTCCAATGCTCTTTGCCAGGATTAGCCATGTATCTACTGACAATACTCAATGCACGTGATAAGTCAGGACGAGAACATACCATGGTATACATAAGTGAACCAACTGCACTTGAATATGAAACTCGAGACATGTACTCAACATCATAATCTGACTGTGGACATAAATCTGAAGATAATCAGAAATATGCAGCAGCTAAAGGAGTACACACTGGTTTTGTATCATGCATATTGAAACGACGAAGAACTTTTTTCAATATAACCTTTCTGACTAAGATATAACTTGCCGGAATGTCTTTCTCTAGTAATTTCCATACCGAGAATTTTCTTCGCTGCACCCAAATCCTTCATCTCAAATTCACTACTCAATTGTGCCTTCAACTTTGCTATCTCTGATTTGTCTTTTGTAGCAATCAACATATCATCAACATAAAGAAGTAAATATATAGCTGAAACATCAACAACTTTAAGATAAACACGGCTATCAAAATTGGATCTTCTAAACTTCTGAGAAAGCATGAAAGAGTCAAATATCTTATACCACAGTCTAGGTGACTGCTTCAACCCATAAAGAGATTTCTTCAACCTGCAGACTAGGTTCTCTTTTCTAGGAACAACAAAACCTTTAGGTTGCTCCATATAAATGTCGTCATCTAACTACCCATGTAAAAATGCAGTTTTAACATTCAATTGCTCTAGTTCATAATCATGCATTGCAACAATACTGAGTGAAGTGCGCATTGAAATATCCTTCACAACAGGGGAAAATACATCATTGAAATCAATACATTGAATCTGGCTATAACCTTTAGCAACTAACCTTGCTTTGTATCTTGTCTCATCACTTGAAGATATACCTTCCTTTCTTTTGAAGATCCACTTACAACAGATAGGTTTCTTCTCCTTTGGCAATTTCACCAATTCCCAAGTATGAATCTTTTCAAGTGATTCCATCTCATCATGCATAGCAGTAATCCATCTATTGCAATCATCAGAAACAATAGCCTTAGAATATGCAGAAGGTTTTGCATTACCTTCAATTTCTTCTGCCATACTCAAAGCATAAGTAACTATGTTCGCTTATTCAATATATCTTTGAGGAGATTTAGTACTTCTTTTAGGCTTATCTTTTGCAATAGAACATTTTGGAGACTGCTGAATAGTAGAAGAATCTAAATATTCACTAACAGGTGCATCTTGGTTAATAGCAACATCTTCTTTTTTTGGTGCATGCCCTGAACTAATCAAGTG